ACACATCAATGAGAAAGTGTGCAAAATTTGGTTGATTTTTACCCAATGGTAAAAAAGTTATGCCCTGTTGAATGTGTCGCAATAATTTCGTGTTCGCCCTTTATCCACCCTGAGCATTCAATATAACCTGTTTGATATCTCATGACAGGTCCTGGTATAAATTTAAGATACGAACCATTTCCCCGAAACAACAGGAACATGTTCTGATGTGGTCGGTGGGTCCGAGCTACTAACCAGTTATCATGTATTTAAAGTTCCTTTGATTTTAACATCAACATCACATAAATCAAAAGCTCTACCTTTGAAAATATCGAGTTATAGAATCAAAATAACACTACATATGTAGATCAGATCATCGACCAAAGGAGACATTGACTTGTAGAAATATCGACTTATGGAGAGTACGATACATGAAAAAATGAAGGGACCGCAGAATTCAACGAGTTATAGAATATCGTGATGTGGAGAGTTGACTGTATTTTCACATTCATCCCAGAATGCAAAAGGATGTATGAGAAGAGATTTGATGGGATTTGTGGGTTCAAATCTCACACACACACGTGTCATACAGATCATTTGTGCTTTACTTCAAAGTATCTTCTAATTTTTACAAAGAGAATTGAGTTTAAAAATTTGTTTGAGAAGAATTTTAAAGGAATCTAATTTGAAGAACATTCTCTCATCGAACGGCGGGTGTGTTCGCATTTTTACGAGATACTGAATTTGGCCAAGTTTTACACAGCATGAAATCCAAAATATGTTCATATGACCGAAATAATAGGGTGCATCCACTGTAAAATAAAAATGCACGAGAAGTTCACTAAATAGCCTAACGTACACACTTAATTTTTTTCGCCGAGATTCCAACAGCCGAGTACTTCTGCAATTTATTTTGCTGAGGTTCAGTAAAACAATTGCCGAGACTCAGCTAACAAATATCATTTTGCTGAGATATCAGCTAACAAACAGATATTTTGCAGATATATCAGCAAAAGTAAATGCCGAGGTAATCGACTGTTGGAGATTTTACCGAGCTAGATTAAGTGTGTAGTCTGTCAACCATGTAACATTTAATAAATTCTCTACAGAATACTTAAAAAATATCATAAAATTCATCCTGTTCAATTGTTTTGTTCTAATAATCCACTGAAACTTTCTTTTCTTGCTTTGCGTTGCGTTTGTAACAGGGTAATTCGTATATTGCATACTGGAAACTGTCATTTATCTACTTTAACATTTTTATTTGGATTGCTTAAGGAAAACTTTTTTGGAGTGTATAGCTCTCTAATCAAAGTTAAGAACAGGAAAAACATGACAATTACCATTGCCGGCTACGCCCATCTTCTCCGTTATTGTGGAAAGGAAGGATATTGTTGATGAATCATCTACCTCACGGGAGGCCAACGACTCACCGACGCCCCCAATCCACTGAAACTTTCTTTTCTTTTGTATTATAGGGTAAACGCCTTTATAGTTGCGGTACGTTAGAAGCGTTAGGATACGGATACGTCTATTAACGTCTCTTTAAACTGTTCCCCTACAAGAGGAGAATTTAGTTCATTCGAGACGGGTTTTAAACATCAGCTGTTTCATCATTATGTCCCCCGTTAGGTCGGTCGTCTTCCTTCACACACCTTGGTCTTTAGGATCTTAAAGACTGCCTCTTGTCGAATGAAGTGGCATGACTACCAGTCATTTTCTTTCTAATGCCACTTCAACTTACTCATGCTTATATCATATCGTATGAGTCTAACGCCCTCAGGAAGTTGAGTACAGTTTGCTCTGTACTCCTGTCGTTGAACAATACCTCACGGATTGAACCAACGACACCCATATCTTCCCTTAATTGTGCTCTTGCCGGGCACTCCACCAATAGATGATTTACATCTAATACCGCACCGCATCCCTGGCAGTAGGCTACACTGCCGCTAAATCGAGGTCCATGAGTGAGCCGTGTATGACCAATCCTCAGCCGAGTTAGAACTTTCTGATCTCGAGAATTAGGTGCATCCTTCCACTCTTGTGTAGTGTTCTTGATACGACGCAGGAATGCATCACGGTTATTATGCCAAGACACATTCCATGCGTATCGCGAGGTCTGCATCACCCAGCGGGTAGCGTCACTATAGGCCTCTAGTCGAGCAAGACGACCCTGGTTAGCTAGTTTATCAGCAGCCTCATTCCCTGGTATACCTGCATGTCCAGGTACCCATACAAAGGTTATGTTAGCGTACCGTTGCACCTCTAACAGCCACGGGTGTCCAACCTGCCCATGCTCAAGGGCAGAGAGACAACTCGCAGAGTCAGAAAATACAACGGCCTGAGATCCATTTGCTAGCCTACAAGCTTGCAGGAGAGCATAGGCCTCAGCTGAGAAGATACCACAGAGACCGGGTAACCGGCCGCAGTGGCTTATGTCCTCTCCAGACACCCCATAACCGACCTCCTCTTCGATTAATGAACCGTCCGTAAATAGCTTGAGCCTTCCCTCGTATGAGGCAGCGACCTCCCTAAATGCAGCTTTCGCCACACTAGAGCTAGCCCCCGCCCCGCACATAGCTTTAATCCTCCAATCAACTTTCGGGGCAGTAGCATCCCATGCCCGTTGCCACAGCCTAGCTCACTGGGCTAACGTGGGAAGATCTACTCCCGTCAAGTCGCTCCACCATTCTCTCGCCCTTGCAACCGTGGGCCTGTCATTGAGAATGGGATCCCTTTCTAGGAGCCTTAGCGCCTTGGTGGCCAGGTCTTCGGTGACAACATTCACCAAAGGGACCTTTCCATTCTCCACCAACAGAGAAGCTATTGGTGAAGACCTCAGCGCTCCGCTACAAATTCTGTATGCCTCATTGTACTGAGGTTCCAGAATCTTGAGCAGGGAGACACCACCCCTGCTCCACAAGGATGCTAGGGACAACCAGAGCCCTAGCAACCTTGGTTTAGAAGCGTTAGGTTCCTATAGTTGTGTATGGAGACTCCGTACACAACTATAGGAACCTAACACTTCTAACGTACCGCAACTATATGAGCGTTTCCCCTATTCGGATTAGATTTCCCATGCAATTGAACTCAAAATTGTCTTAAAATTTTGCTCGGAATTACCTTAGAGTTCTTCTCTAAATTGTTCTGAAAATTTGCTTGGAATTTTGCTTAAAATACTCTACAATTTTTTTTATCGTCGGAATTCAGTTAAAACTGGTGTAAGAATTCCGTTAGAATGATACCCTCAAAAATCCCTTGGAATTTTCACGGATCCTGGAATTCTCTTAACATTCCAGCGGTATTCCCCAAAATCTCATCAAGCTCTCTTTGAAAAAAAAAATCAAAATTTCTCTTGATAGTTCTTCAAATTGACTTTATGCTGAAAATCTAGTCCAGTCCAAGAGTCTTGAATATTATTCAAAGCCCAAAATCTGTTTTTTTTTTTAATACACCTCGAAATATTTTTGTTTCCGATTTGCTTTTGAAATTGTTGATTTTTTCCCGATGTCTTAGATTTCCCGGTTTTCCAAATTTTCCGGTTCACTGGTCATTCTGCTACCTTTAAATATACTTAAAAGTAACTCAGCAATTAGCCACAGCATATTCCATTGTCAATTTTCACTCGAGCACGTAGGTATGGTCAATCCAATTGATTTGAACAAAAATCTTGAAAAGAACGACAAATAGGCATCATTTATGTACTAAACCCATACTGGAGGTTAATTCTGTTCAAATTGCACCACATTTTTAGTTCCGTAATAATTTTTGTTTGAACTAAATCATGTAGTTGTTATGTGAAATTCAGAAACTGTTAAGATCATTGAAACATTATCTTCCTGGTGAGTTATTAAAATTCCAGACTTTTTCCCGGTTTATGCTGGTGAATTTGAAATCCCGGATTTCCAGGATCTCCTGGTTGACTTGCCACCCTGTGTTAATTACCGAAGATGAACCAGCATCTGGTTGAAAATCGCCTGAATAAAGATAACCAACCTGTGTTAGCTTCTTTCCACAAAGGCATTACGTCTAGAAAATCATCTCGTGAAATTTTATACAAAAATATGCATTCTGGAAAAACTTGCTTGTAAGCTGCAGTACATTGTAAGAGCTGCCATTACATTTGTTGTTTGAAAAATATGCAGAGGATGTTAGAAATCCAATCTTAAATTGGATGTAAGAGACATTTCTTTTGCATGTGGTTAAGCAATGACGAATTCCGCACATAATCTCTAACGGCGATACCGATGATCCTACTCAAAACACTATTCTGGTCACGGCATCAAATGTAATGTCCAGGGATCGCCCAGGGCCTTACGCTGTTAATTAATGAAGCTAAATGATAGGACCCTGACAAAATATTCACTCTCACATTTTACAGATCTGAACACCACGTAATACGTCTTTGATGGAAAGCAGAGAAACGACTGTCACATGAATGATTTTCTAAGCTGTGGTGACTCATGCTGTTGACCGGTTGTGTACTACATTGATTTCGCGATACATTGCAAATGTAAGATTAGATCCAGATTAATGTACTGACTATCAATTATCCAACCACATCTGGACTATGGCTGACATGAAATGACGATAAATCCACAATAATATCCTAAGCCAAATGGTTACATAATATCATAATTCCAATGTTGGATTATTCATTAGAATTGAATCGATTGAACACAAGCAATTGAATCAATTGCATTCATTCCTTCCAACAAGGCCCCGCAATCAAGGCATCAATCGCGGCTGATTGAGTCATCGGGAGTACGCGTGCTACTGGACTACATTCGAGTTCAAAACCATGACAGCTAACCACTGGATTTGGGTAAACAATCCACCATCTAGGAAGCTAAAAATATGCTCACTGACCACCGCGACAACAAGCAAAAAGATCCATTATTCACCGCAAATTCCGAGTAATAATGCAACACTCGACCCGTATGTGCTTACTCAAGCTACTCTAGTGTGTGGTGGTACGTATAACTGGCTCTACCCAAACAGAAAGCTTTACTCGCGTTTACCTATAGTGAGTCACCGCGAATAACCGCTGAGACTGCAGCCTTCCTCGCGGTGTAGCCCCCTCAATGCCACCACGCTGTGTACTCCGACAGCAACACAGATAGAGACCTGAGTCGGATCGCCTTGAAGCACAGTAAACCGTTTCCAGCCACCCGGAATGTCGCAAATAACACCGAACCACGTAGACTGATCTTCTGTCTTCTCTACACACACTTTAGCTCAAGCATCACAACAACAACAACAACACCAATACCGACTCCAGGAACCACTCAAACTCCAACAGAAGAACCCAACTTCACAAAACAGGCTCTCTTTCTCCTCGGGGGTAACGAACAACGCGATCAAATCACACAAAGAAAACTTCCTTTCCAGAAATTCTTATGCATTCACTTTATTCCACCTTCATCCTCTCAATAAGCTGTTGGTGGTTCTTCTTCGTCTTCGTTTTCTTTGGCTCAATCGTATTGACACAATGGACTTTTATTATCATTCTTCATTCTCTTTTCCACCAACACTATTCCTCGTGTACATCCATCGAGTATGCCTTGAACCGAAGCCTTCGCCACAGCACGGCCTGCTTTTTACTTCTTTCTACTAGGTTGGCTCTTGCTTTCCACGTCGTCACTCACTCACTCACTCACTCACTCGCTGCCCACCGGCCGTCGTTCTGAAGCAGCAGCTTCTTGAACGGTTTCCATTCGATAAACCTATCGACAGCGACACAACAGTGTAGAGAAGAAAGCGAGCAAAATTGACCAATTTATTTCATTGAACACAGGACGGGGTGGGTCTCCTCCGTAGGCACACTAATCTACTAGGCGCTCCTCACCACCGTAAGCACCGTTCTTCTACTACACGTTTACTACGCGTGTAAGCTTTTTTCCTGTCCGTCCCGTTGAACGAACCGGGAGTTCGATTTTTTTCGTTTGGGTCGTTCGTCCGTACACCTCTGATCGCTCGCGCAACACCTACTCAACTGAAGACCAGAGCGAGAGAGTAGCAACAGCACAGGCCTCTAAGCTGTCTGGAACTGCCTCTGTGGTGGAAGCAACAGATCGTTGAAGTGGGACTGTACCTGTGTGAGGACGATTGAGAACAACACTCTCCGGTTCCGTTCCGTGGAGAAGTATTGGTCGGTCAGTGATGCCAGTTGCTTGCAAAATGGATCAGTCTGTTACTACACCATTCCGTTGATTGCACTCCTTATTATATACTTATGAAATATATTATATCGAGTAGTCTCGGTGTACTGGTTGTAATCCTATATTCTAGTACCTCATTTGAGGTCGGATTCCCCTACCCGATGATGTTTATTTGCGTGGACGAGCCTTCACTTTCTAGAAATCATCGAAAGAAGTAGTAATTTTTTACAAACCCTGTTACGCCCTATTTCCAGCTCTATGTAGGATTGTACCAACAATCAATACGATACTAACGATTTTAAATTGGCTCACTACTTGACTAGCCTATTGGTCCTAAGCAAACGATTAACGTACCCCATTCTAGTCAAAATTCTAGTACTACGCAATGTTTGTTTTGATTCGCTATGAAAGTTTGACAGATAAAATGAGGGGTTATTGGTTTTCCTATGTTTCGAGGGGTGAATCGATTAGCTTGGGACCGAAGAGAGTACCAGAGCTGAGCCAAAAAGTTGAGCACGTTATTTCGGGACCTTCTAGTCCTAGAGTTACCTCTATGATTGTACTCCCGATTATACTCCTGATAGACATATTGAGTAGCCCCGTTGTACTGGTTGTAATCATGTTCCTTAAACCACGTAAGTCAAGCATTCCACTGTCTCTTTATAAGGAACGTTCTGCATTGCTTGAATTTGTTCTGCCGTAGCTGCACACATCGAAGTATCCAATTTACGACAGGGATCAGCTTGTGTTGCAACAGGATTGCAGTTTTCCCCAGATGAAATGTTCAGCCCTTCTTCAATGTAGCGTTACTGATCGAGTCTTAGTACGGCTTATTTTATATCACGAGTGATTGTTAGTCCCAAACCGCAGCTGCGTCTCGCAGAAATCTTTCATTTCAAACCGGTTGCTCAGAGAATCCTTCAGCTTGTTCTTCAATCTTGGAACTGTTGGAGATAATTAATAGATCATCAACATAAATTGTCACAAAATCATCTCCTCTGGTCCATATTGAAGTAAAGGCACGGGGCAACTTTGGAACGTGAAAGTTCAAACTGCAACATAGCTACGTCCAATTGCATATTCCAAACTATGGTTGATTGTTTTAATCCGTACACGTCCTCCTTTAACTTGCATACCTTGACTGGAGCTGGTTGCTCCATAAAAATAATTTCTCGCGTAACATTTTTAAAGGGCCTGTCAAACAAAACTTGGAAGGCGCTTTTCGGCCGAACCCTTCCCGATAGTGCCCTTAGTTTGTGTTGGCGGGCATCAATGACGGCCTATTGGTCCCAACGATTTTAAATTGGTATTCTACTTGACTAGCCTATTGGTCCCAAGCAAATCTACTAACGTACCCCATTCTAGTATAAATTCCAGTACTACACAATGTTTGTTTTGATTCGCTATGAAAGTTTGACAGATACAATGAGGGGTTCGTGGATTTTCCTGTTTCGAGGGGTGCATCGATTAGCGTGGGACCGAAGATAGTACCAGAGCTGAGCCAAATAGTTGAGCACGTTTCTTCGGGACCTTCTGATCTTAGAGTTACCTCTATGGTTGTACTCCTTTAATCTAGTACGTCGATTGCGGCACTGGAATCTTGTCTGTCGATGATTTAAGAATTGTTTTTGTACTGATTCTAACCGTTCAAAAACCAATCATTCCGACAACACTGCGTAAACTGTTTGAAAACAAAAAGAATAAAAATACTCACACCAAAACAGCGTCCGCTTCGCTCCAAAGTAAAAATTCCAAGCACCTTCGTTTCTCTCACTGCTCCTGAGGTAATCCAGCGGATTTTTAAAAATCTTTTCCACTGTGCTGTTTGTGTATGTGCTTGATGAATATTCACTCTCCCACTATTCGCGTCTCATCCCACACGAAAGAAAAAATCTCACCATTCGAATTGCTCACGCACCCACACACAAAAACTCATCACGGCACTCTTCTCTCTTCACCACTAAAACAAAATATACGAGCAGATTATCTCTCGTTCACTCGTTACGTTGCACACAGGGCAAAAAAAAACGAACTCCCTCCTCCAGCAGGAAGAGCACCAACAAGCAGAAGAAAACAAAGTTCGTACCTTGTTTTCACCGAATTACCACCATTTTCGACGAATTTTTCCACGGAAAACATCAAATCGGCATAAATTGCCTATCGGGGCACATTTTGCGACACTTTTCCGAAAGTTCTGAGGTACTTTTCACTCGATAAAATCGCGAAACACGAAGCTGGCAGCCGCCCAGCGTTCAACACGTCGAAAAGAGAACGGTTTTCTGACTCACTCAATCAAAGAACCTGAACAAGCCAGCGAGCGAAGGGAAAAATCTCATTGCATGTGTAAGTGAATCTCACTTGTTGCAGGTAAAATAAATATTGCATCCAAGATTTTTTTATGATTTATTGCATGCAAAAACGATTACGACTAACGCATCAAAAACGATTTGCGAGGGGAACGTCGATGATTCTTAACTAGTGGGTAAAAATACCTACTTTAAAGGGGACACTCAAAAGATATTCAAATCTAAATAGATAAAAAGCTACGCTAAATCGCAACTCTCCTGACCGACGCATAGCTTTGTATAAAGAAAGAGAATGCACACTTAGTATAAAAATGGTTTACACGAGAATGTGTATTTTTGGACTTTATACATGCAATGTTTAAAGAAGATTAATTCATTGTGTTGGTAGAGAGGTGATTTTGTTTTGATTTAATTTATAAATGGATTCCAGATGTTTGAATAAAATTAAAATGACAATCATTCTAAGAGTTTATTTAGATTTGCATAAATGTACAATATTTATTTTGTTGCAGCATACAAAACTGGAATGAAGGTCACTCGGCTGTTTATAAACATATGTTGGGGCTTTTCAGCAGTTAAAGATTTTCGAAATTGGACGGCACCATGTGAAATCAAATAATAGCAACATATTTTGGAATTAACATTTAGGAAGCTCGAAGAATATAGGGGAAAGTCAGTGAAGACCTAAGAAACACTTACGAGTAGGTACTGTTGAAGGAACATTTGTAGGGCTGCTTGCTCTCTATGTAGGTTGCTCCCCAAAGGACTGTCCAGCTTGTGCTCCTCCATGGTTTCCTCTTCCTGCAGTGCGGATTCTAAGTTCTGGTTCTGCAGTTGACTGTATTCCAAAAAAGTACTGGACTACTCTGCGAAATGCTTCCAGACGGAACCGGGCCGGTTCAACGGGGGGGAAAGCACATCAACGCTACGAATAAATATTCCTGAATCGAACAGTGCTATTTTATAATAACTAACTGAAAGTTTTCTTTCCACAGGTAAAACATTTATCACAAAATGTAATCACCGAAACCTTTTCAATGCCATAAGTAGCATTAAAACAAGTTATTTGATGTCATGTATAAATAGAAATCTAAAATTGATTACTTTTTAATCATAGAGATGGGTAAACGAAGCTTAATAAACAAAAGCATAAATTTTATTCTATTTCCGATTAGTTATATTTTTGAGTGGAGGTTCTCATTCAAATGGCCAAAAAGTGAGCAAAGTTTTGCATTTTTTTTTGTGGGCCAATGAAAAAACATAGAAGAACGCGATTTTGAAATTAAAAAAGCTTAGAACTTCATCTTTATCATCAAATTTTTACAAGGCGAAGAAAACAAAATGGCGCCCATGGTCACGTTTTGAGTAAGGTAGTTTACGCCTGGAATTGTCAAACTGCGTACAGCCTGAACTAAATTTATTGGAGGAATGACCTAAGGAACGGGTAAAAAACTTTTTGGTCGATTTCATCCCTTCTTTTTCCTCTTTAGAAAAAACTACAAGGGACAGCCCTATGGCGTTATACCAACAATCAATACGAAACTAACGATTTTAAATTCACTCACCACTTTAGTAGCCTATTGGTCCCAAGCAAACGATTAACGTACCCTATTCTAGTCGAAATTCTAGTACTACGCAATGTTTGTTTTGATTCGCTATGAAAGTTTGACAGATAAAATGAGGGGTTATTGGTTTTTCCTATGTTTCGAGGGGTGAATCGATTAGCTTGGGACCGAAGAGAGTACCAGAGCTGAGCCAAAAAGTTGAGCACGTTATTTCGGGACCTTCTAGTCTTAGAGTTACCTCTATGGTTATACGCAATGGTTACGTAGGACTACGTGGTCTTATATAATAAATCTTATTTGTTAATTGCAGCAGAAGCTTGTGTTTTGTGAAGGAATAGGAATTTGTGCGGGGTTCTCAGCGACTCACAAAGAGCTACTGATTCCGATCAATAACGGTGCGGCATCTTCCTCCTTCTATGGATGCTCATGTGCAGGCAGCCTTTCGTTGTGTACTGGAGAACACCCCCACTTACCAGGAGGTGATTGAATAAACACCGTTTGGTAAGACCGGATGGAATTCAACTTTGAAATCTGTTTTAGGGAAATCGATTTTCACAGGTAATTGGTGATAATTTTAATTAACATAAGAACAGTTGCAATTTCGTTCAATTTTCAATAGTAACATGTTGAAAAATGATCAAGTCTTAAATTATATAGAAATATTTCTGATCGATTGGTGATAAAATTATTGAAATTGGTCCAGGGGCAGCTGAGTTATTAACGTTCAAAATTTTTTATGATTTTGGTACTTGTTTCATTTTTGGTTTCCATAAAGTGTACACAGAAAAAAAAGTTGTTGAATATTACATCCAAACTGCTGCAACCAGGTCAATTCATCAGTTGTGTAATATCATAGAGGTAACTCTAAGACCACTGGGTCCCGAAGAAAATCTTTATTATTTTTGGCTCACTCAGTACCAGAAGAACGGTCCCAAGCAGTCCCAAGCTATTTCACTCACCCCTGCATGTTCTGCATGAATCCACACACCCCTGTCAAACTTTAATAGCGAATCAAAACAAGCATAGTGTAGTAATAGAATTTCAACTAGAATGGGGTACGCCATAGAAGTACTCGGGACCAATAGGCTACTCAAGCAGTGAATCAATTTAAAATTGTTAGTTTCCACCCCCTGGTAATATAACGTTGTACGAAGTACGAAGAATCCATTGATGTAAAATTGTATCTACTTTTTGCTATTACATCATTATTTCATACATCAGCTTGAATTACATTGATCGATATTACATTTTTTTTGCGCTGTGTACCCCCATATAAAAATCACAGCCAATCTCGACATCGTTTTTCTGCAAGAAGTGGAGAACGCACAGCTCTCCATTCCTGGGTACAATCATAGAGGTAACTCTAAGACCACTGGGTCCCGAAGAAAATCATTATTATTTTTGGCTCACTCAGTACCAGAACAACGGTCCCAAGCAGTCCCAAGCTATTTCACTCACCCCTGCATGTTCTGCATGAATCCACACACCCCTGATGTTATCTGTCAAACTTTCATAGCGAATCAAAACAAACATAGTGTAGTAATAGAATTTCAACTAGAATAGGGTACGTTAATCGTTTGCTTGGGACCAATAGGCTACTAAAGTGGGGAGCCAATTTAAAATCGTTAGTTTCGTATTGATTGTTGGTACAATATCGTCGCAAATGTGGATCTTCAAAGGCGAGGGACGGCAAAAGCGCTGAAGGAGTATATATAGAGTATATACGCTTTTCCCATGTAGAGAAGAGCTTGGACGGACGACTTGTTGCTCTCCGGGTTAAAAACACGATATTGGCCAATATATACGCACCGTCGGGCACAGCTATGCGTGCCAAACGAGAGCGTTTTTTTCAATAATACGATAGCTTTCTATCTGCGGCACAACACCGAAAATATACTGCTCGCTGGCGACTTCAATTGTGTGCTGCGACCATGTGATGCATCGGGTTTCAATAACAGCCCTGCTCTGCAGTCCACCATACAACAACTGCAACTCAGCGACGTCTGGGTAAAATTGTATCCCACGACCCCCTCGCCCACATATATCACGCACAACTCCGTCTCCAGACTCGATCGCATGTACGTCAGCCATGGACTCTGCGCGCAACTACGAAATGCAGCCACACACTAACCACAAAGCGCTTACTTCACGAATATGCCTCCCCAGCCTAGGCCACGAACCTGGTCGCGGTTATTGGTCATTACGTCCCCATCTTCTGACAGCAGAGAACGTTGACGAATTCTAGATCAGATGTCAATATGTGACCCGACAAAGACGAAATTTTCCGAACTGGAATTCATGGAACATGTAACAAATTAAGAAAGATTTTGAACGTTATTAACTCAGCTGCCCCTGTTCCAATACCAATAATTTTATCACCAATCGATCAAAAATATGGCTACGTATCGATAATAATGCTTCCGAATTTTGATTTTCAAAAGAAGGAAAAGAGCCAATGTCGCTACTTGATAGCAAACTACTCATAATGGGAGGAGTCTTTGTAGCTTTTATACCACTTGGTTGCACATCATTCTGCTTTAACCTGAAAAGATATAAAATAGCGCTGCTGTATGGCATTACCCAACAAACAATTTTAGCTGCAGATTAGCTTATACAGGCAAAAATTAGCTGTATAAGCCAATTTTTGGCTGTATAAGCTAATCTGCAGCTAAAATTGTTCGTTGGGTAGCTCATTTTCGCTTCGGCTAGTCCACTCTTCTATAACCCAACAAGCAACAATTGACTGGTCGTGGCAAAGGAGGTGCCAAGCGTCATCGCAAAGTTCTTCGAGATAACCGCCATCGGTCGTCTGGCTCGCCGTGGTGGTGTCATCTCCGGTCTGATCTACGAGGTGTGCTGAAGGTGTTCCTGGAAAATGCGGTCCGTGATGCTGTCACCTACACTAAACACGCCAAGCGTAAGTGGCCATGGATGTCCTCTTCAATAAAACGGCCCTTTTCAGGGCCATCAAGCTTACATCAGTAAAGAGTTGGAATATAATTTATCTGTGCTTGTTTGTCCATATTCAGAACCACAAGAGCCCCAACGACCACACAAAATGCTCTCCACAGAGTTGTAATCTTGTAACCAAACTTGGAAGCAGGGGTGTAAGTGATTTTGATTGATTCTCTTAATCAACTTTCTCTCTGAAAAAAAAAATTACTACATATTTGGTACGCCTACAATTCAAAAACGGAAAGAGTTGAGATAATAGATAATTGATCAATAAAAAGAACTAAATGCTCTTCACATTTATTCCGTTCACTAGCGGTCCTACGTCAAGCTTCCGTTCGTGCCCATAGGCACAGACCCTTCTACTTTTTTCGATGGAAATCTCACGAGGCATACAGTGAGTTTCATGCACAACACCAACGGCTGTATGTACAGCTTCAGCAAGCGTATGATGGATATTTCCTTAATCAAGAGATGATAGTCACCATCAATCGCGTGAAAGCAAAATTGCTTGCTCACCAGCGCACTTTCTCGCAGAACTTTATGCGTATCAACGACACGTTTATTGCAGGTGAAAGCATAAGTACCTTCCAGCTGGGAGAAAGACTAAGGAAAAAAAAACCGTCATCACAGAGCTGTGTGGCGAAAACAACGAAGTTCTAAACACTTCCGAAGCAATCGAAACCCATCTGCTCCGATACTTCAGAGAGCTATACACTGCGACAGAGGAAAATGAGGAAGCACAGCACTCCTTCCAATGCGAGAGAGTGGTACCCGAAAACGACGAGAGCAACGACTCTTGCATGGCTGAGATAACAACATCAGAGATTTTGTCATCTATTCTTACATCATCAAAAAGGAAGGCTGCGGGAAGCGATGGGTTACCCGTCGAATTCTACCAACGTACATTTGACGTCATCCACCGAGAGCTGAACCTTGTATCATAGAGGTAACTTGTATTAAACGAGGCTATAACAACGGAATTTCCCTCTGAATTCGCCAACGGAGTAATCGTGTTGGTACGAAAGAGAGGAACGGCAAATACCGCTCGAGGATACCGCCCGATCAGCCTTGTGAATGCGAACTTTAAAATTCTCGGCAGAATCTTTAAAAGCACGTCTCGAGGTCGTGACGAAGACTCACCGCATCCCGCATAGAAAAATACCATTTCTAGAACAGTTCAAACTTCACTGACACCTTACTAGCTATGTTAACTTTACACAAAATAGTTTTGCTATGGTTTATGGAATGTAATAAACATTAAAGAAACACTACTTTCAACTGTTACAGTTTCTGGTATGTTCCAGTTAAATTTTGCTACGGTTGATCAACTATACTGAACTGTTGCAAAACATTACGAATAAAAGTTGTAAACAACTTGTACAACGCTTACGTGTTTCGATTATGGTTGCTTTATGTTTTTACAATTGGTACAAACAGAAGAAAACGGTTTTGATTGAAACTGTGCTCGTAAGTTCATTGTGTTGTTTTGTTCGTTATTTTATTTTTAAAACCCTCGGTAAATCATCTTCGGTAATATTAGCTTAAAGTATAAAATATTTCTTAAAAGCGCATGCAATTTCTACACAAATATTCAGGGCTAGCAGCCGTTTACATGTGAAGGAGATTTCGATGCTGGCGGCTCACATCATCCAAAAAGGAAATCCAAGCAGGTTCGTTTTGCCGGGGCCTTTTTATTTTCCAGAAATGGAATGGAGTTTGTTTTGCAGGGCAAATTCATTTATTTATTCATTTAATATTAAGATCAATAAACATGTTACCAAGGGCAAGGGAGGTATCCACAAAAAGAAATCTTGTAAATCACAATAAAATTAAAGAACAACTCATGATGGCTGTATTCCGGATAAGCTACGACAGTATTTATTATAACGTCAATAAGTATGGTAATTTATACCATTTCATAGTATGTCAGGAAGTTAACAACAATGGTTGGTTCTAAACCGTACTACCAACAATCAATACGAAACTAACGATTTTAAATTAGCTCACCACTTTAGTAGCCTATTGGTCCCAAGCAAACGATTAACGTACACGGATAGAAATCTCCTTATACTTTTTGGCAAATTTCCATTGCTGATTATTCATAAAATGTATAAGTCAACTAATAAGCAGACGCCTTGCAAAAAGTTAATAAAGATCATGTGTCAAATGAAATATATAAGCGGTCACACATACCTTTTATGCATTCTAATAGGACCTATGTGGTTTGTCTTATAGAATGTATAAGGCTGATGCTTTGGCAAAAATGTATAAGTGAAACACATGAATTAAATAATTGATTTTCGTTTCGTGTACCCCATTCTAGTCGAAATTCTAGTACTACGCTATGTTTGTTTAGATTCGCTATGAAAGTTTGACAGATAAAATGAGGGGTTATTGGTTTTTCCTATGTTTAGAGGGGTGAATCGATTAGCTTGGGACCGAAGATAGTACCAAAGCTGAGCCAAAAAGTTGAGCACGTTATTCCGGGACCTTCTAGTCTTAGAGTTACCTCTATGGTACAACCAACAGGGTAAACTAAATAAATTACAATTACAATTACTACAAATTGTCGGAAATATGAATCACCCCGAAATTTTATTTTTTTTTTGCGATCATCATATTCATAAACTTGTCATAAACTCTACCTGTGGGTAGAATTTTATTTAAGATGTGGGTCGGTGCGGTTGCTAATTTTTGCGTTAAGTAATTTACGAATGAAAATAAAATGAAAATGTTTGGATAATCAGACCGCTCGGTACTTGGTTCATTACGGTAAATACTGCGAACACCTATCAGCGTGTGTCCTTGGCTCGTCGTCATTTGTGAGCAAAAAGTTCATCCGCAGTTTTCAAATGAAAAAAAATGCATCCCAGGCAGTCACTCGTCTTGCCAAAGCAGCGCGTGTCGTACCAGATTAGTTAGTGAAGAAGGCAGACGTGGTTGGGTGATGTAGTTTTGTGTGTCAGCCAGTCCAAAAGCTGAAAAGAAGTCGTCGTTGTGAGACAACCACGGAAGCAATAGATAATCAACATAAATTCGGAAATCCTTGCCAGAAGATCCATTATTTGCTAATCGTACTTTTGAAACGGTCAGGCATTAGGTAAAAGAGCTACTTTCATGTGATAAGTGCGTGTGAAAAAGTGGGCAAGTTGTACAGGAATCGCACTCGGGTGTGTTTCGTTCAAGAAAGGCGTCAGTAGTTTCGTTTTCCGGGTCCGCAAAGTTATTAGTCGTTTGATGGCATACAGTTTTAGTTAAAAAAGCGAAAACAAGTTAACTTGATAGCGATATGGATTTTCGGTTTGACTGAGGTGAATCCCAAAAGTTCAGTCCATAAGAGGAATTTTCTTTTTTCTTGTTGGAATCAAGAAGAAGAGGTAACTCGGGACGGCAGGAAGAAGAAGCAGCCTAAAATTACTCATCGCAGCTGCAGCAGCAAACACACATTGAAAGAGCAAAACGACAGTACTAGATTGACTGTCGTCTCTAGCAAAGAGAGAGAGACAAAGCGAGAGTGAACACAAGTTCACTTACAAGGTGAGTTACTCGGGAATAAACATTGGCAGTGCTGGCGGAAGTTTTGATTTATACGATCCGATGGATTTATGTAAGCTGTTAGTTTCCGTCTCACCACTACTGACAGACCTTGCTATAGACTTCTCTGACGTTTGTGAAATGCGCAAGTATTAGTGCAGAACTTGGGGTAAATTATAAGTTTTAGTGCAAGAAAACCTTAGAATTCACCCAAATTTCTGCACTATAGAGATTGCTGACATTTATCGTACGCAGACTACGTCACGTATACGTATACGAAAAATGTTTTCATCGGGAAAAAAACTTCATGGCGGGAAATTTTCCCGATGAAAACAAATCACTGACACAATCATACTTTAGCAATCTCTATAGTGATTAGTGGTGTTTAACGTACGCCCTCTAGGGGGTGCATCGCTGTTTACAGCTTATAATTCTCCTCTGGCTAAACAAAAAAAAGTATGAAATTAGATTTGTCAAAATGAGTTTAAAAGCGATTAAATCTTCATTAAACTCATTTTCACAATTCCAATTTTGTTATTATTTTCCTCTGATTTTCACTAACACGATCTTACATATCGCACCAATGCAACCGGACGTGGAAATCTCATTGTGCAAAAAGCAAGGGGTAAGTCACTCAGCACATTGTGTGAAATAAGATTCGGCTTAACTTGGGCACATCCATCGGCACACCTTCCACACAATCTCGTAGGTATTAGATTGTTGTTAATAAAATGGGATCACTGCTGGACAACTGTCATTGAAGTTGTTCAAAAAATTACGTGCTGTTTGACTGTATATTCAGGAACATCCTCTAATTGAATGTACCAGAGGAAATCAGATCAGCGGTTCACTTATAGATCTAAACACGAAATGTAGGTTCTAAACTGGGCTCAAGAGAACCAGACTTCATTAGTACCCTTAATTCAAATAATGCTGCAACTCACACAAAACAAACTACAGAAGTCATGTTCCCCACCGGTTACAACTCTTTTCGGCCGCTGATATACCGTTGCTTTTCACATCATGAAAGGCTAGGTTTCTGTTCTGTCTTTGAGGGCATAATAAAACCCCAAAACACAGGACTTTTATCATCCTATGAACATAAAACACCAACATTTCGCACACCCACCACTTTCCGCGTCATCCTCATTCCGATTTATCCTTGCAAAAACCAAAACCAAAACATTCAAGATGTCAGAAATACCGGGTTGCCGGGATGGGTATTTTACAAACAATCGTAGCTTGCGACACAATCGGCAAACCTGCGGCACACTGACAAAATAGATGACCCAAGATTGGTGTGCGGAGTGACCTACCCCTTGGCAAAAAGTTATTAAAAATACGTAAGAAGATTTAAACATTTGAGGACATTGCGAGGATAATTTCAAGTTCACCTGGAAAATAATTTCTGGATAATTTAAGGGAATATTCTGAAGAATTTAGAGGAGAACTTCTAGAAAATACTGAGGTGAATTGTATGGAAATTCTAAATAATGGAATGAACGCAAGTAATAACGAAGTCCACTAATAGTTCGATAAGGGCCCTTTTTATCATATAAGGATAGTATTTGGCTTCCAAGTTTTATAACAGCTTTATATAGCCTCCCTTAGCTCAGTCGGTAAAGGCGCAGCTACAAAGCAAGACCATGCTGGAGGTGGCTGGGTTCAATTCCCGGTCCGGTCTAGGAATTTTTCGGGTTGGAAAATTTCTCGACTTCCCTGGGCATAGAAGTATGATTGGACTTGCCACACAATTATACCAATGCAAAAATGGTACAGGCATCGAAAGCGCTAATTAATAACTGGAAGTGCATCTAGAACACTAAGTTGAGAGCACGCAATAAGCTAATATGCGATATGCAATAAGCTTGAAATGCGAAGAAGAAGAAAAAGAATATAGCTAAAACGGGCTTGTTGGTTATTTGGGAAGCTTCAGTGAAAGTTTAAATTCGAAGAAAACCGAAGGATCAAATAACATGATTTTTACGGAGTATTATGTAGAGAATGCCTGGTCTGTTCTAAGAATTTTTCAAGCGATTCCTAGAGAGAATCTCAAATGTATTTTACAAGAATTCTAAAAATACAAGCACTTTTTTCCTTGATTTGTTTTCCGTCGATCTTGTTTTCCGTGCTGAGCACCAATGCTACCGACGCCAGGGAGGCAGCTCCCAAACCTTGACCCTACATATCGACCCATGAACTCATGAACCGGGAACCAACGGCTTTACTTCTCATCCGAAGTAAGGCGTGATCAGAGATGTTATGCCTCAGAACATCTTGGCGGCGCCGACTGGGATTGAACCCAGGCCTGCTGGGGTGAGAGGTAATCACGCTTACCACTACACCACCGGCGCCGCTAAATACAAGCACTTGTGTCTTTAACATCAAACAGATATTCCTTCATGTGATACCAGGCTGCTGAGAAATTATTCCTACGATTTTGAGGTGTTCTAACATCTCCATGGAGTCCTCTTGATATTCTTCATGACTTCAGGTTGATCAGATATTATTCTAAAGATCCCTATCCAAATTAACCAACAATTCAAATTACGTTTATTAGATTTCTCTCAAGATACCAGGTTGCTCAGAAATTATTCCGAAGTCCATTGGGTGGTCAGAGATCCCCATGATAATCTTAGGGTACTTTTTCAAGGTTGAACAGGTATCATTCTGAAAATATCCAACTATCCGAATCACATAATTCTTTCAGCAGATCAGAAATTATTTCAAAGACCTTCATGTGTTTTAAGAATTCTAATATAGCCTCTGGATACATTTTCAAGACTTCAAGGTGACTAGGTACTATTCTGACGGTCTCAAATTGTCCAACAATTCAAGTCACATCTTCCAGATATTCTCTCATGATACCAGGTGACTCAGAAAATATTCCTAAGACCTTCAGGTGATCAGAGATCTCCAAAAACTTCTTCGGACATTTTTTTTTTCAATTCTTCAGGACAAGTAAGTGTTATTCAAAAGATCTTCAACTGTCCAACAAATCAAATATTCAGATATACAACCATGACACCAGGATGATCAGACATTATTCAAAACGCAACAGGTGATCAGTGATCTCCATGAAAGCCTGAAGATATTTTTCCAATAAATGAGATTGATCAAGTAACATTCTGAATATCTCAAACAGTCCAATAATTCAAATCGCGTCTCTCAGATATTCTCTCATGAAACCAGATAATATTCCTAATATCATCGGTCAATCAGAGATCTCCAAAAACTTCTCTCGACCGTTATCTCATTGATACAGATTCACATGTCTTCTTTATCGACTCTAAACATAAATAAACATTGTTATACCATCACATATATGTGTGTAGTAACGTTGTACAAAGGTTTTACAATCCTGCAATAATTTCTGTCGATGGTATTAACAACAATCAATACGAAACTAACGATTTTAAATTGGCTCACTACTTGACTAGCCTATTGGTCCCAAGCAAATCGACTAACGTACCCCATTATAGTATAAATTCCAGTACTACACTATGTTTGTTTTGAATCGCTATAAAAGTTTGACAGATAAAATGAGGGGTTAGTGGATTATCCTATGTTTCGAGGGGTGAATCGATTAGCTTGGGACCGAAGAGAGTACCAGAGCTGAGCCAAAAAGTTGAGCACGTTATTTCGGGACCTTCAAGTCTTAGAGTTACCTCTATGGTATTAACAGGTAGCGGGAGGTTTCGAATACGTCTTTTTTAATGTTCCTGATCTCCTGATTTGACCCAGGGACTGTTGGGGTGTGATGCATTCTTTGTATTAGTTTAATCTCGCTGAGTCTTGACCATGGTTGATCACGGTGCATGTGGTTTTGCACTGAAGTATTTTCGCTTTGGTGAATTACGATATTAAATACATAAATTATTGTATCCTCTGAAATGGTAAACATATTTATAACCCGTTGTTCTTTCATTTTCTTTCAACAGAAACTGGCAGCACGGACCTGAGTGAACACTTCAGCACATCGGTAGACAGCCGGAGAGGGAGAGAGTGGGAGTGAGTGACCAGACAACTGCAGTAGTAGCGCAGAGTTCCGAGTGACAGAAGCAATCCAAGAGGACTTGCACAAAGTGTCAAAAAGAAAGAAAAAGAGTCTTGGTTGCACCAGAAGAGCAGTGTGTTGTTCGATAACGTGTGGTGTAAAATCAGAAGAATCGGTACGTGAAGATCACAGGAAAAAGGGCCAATCCGTACTGTGGTGAAGTGGATAGTCCAAGGTTTTCTGCCTGACAGAGAAAAGAAAAGTTTATCCCCCTGTGGTGTACGGTGCATTAGAAGTTTGGGTTGAGTAGTTAACAGAAAATAGCACCTAGTGAAGCAAAACATACATAGCAACAACAAAAACAACAACATCCGAAGAAAATGGCAGATGTGGATGATGTGATAAGTGACCAGGAGAAGATCCGAATTGTGAACGACTTCATCCTGCACGCTCCTCCGGGCGAGTTCAACGAGGTGTTCAATGACGTCCGGGAGCTGCTGAACGATGACCGACTGCTGAAGGAGGGAGCCAGTGTGGCCTGTGCCCAGTACAACAAGGACCAACTAACGCCGGTCATCCTCGAAGGCTCCGAACTGGCCGTGCTAGTCACAGAGTTCAACGATCTGGGTAAGTTAGTGTCCTCACGACCTTTTATCTAAACGCAGCAGTTAGTAAGCGTATCGAGCCGAAGCGAAGGAAGTCTGCACGGTAGTTAGTTTGTATCAGCATAAATTCAGTAGAACAGGATGTTATTTATAGAATCCTTTTTCTATCACAGTGGAAAGATTAGCGCCTGGTGTGCTCCGTTCTGCGATGGGTGAGAGTATTTTATTTTTATGGTGACACTTGTCGAAAATACCAACCAACTTCTGCTAAAGCGGGTCGCGCCTGTCGCCATCCACAACCAGAGCGTTATCACAACCGACGACGGCGACGACGGCTTGTGAGTGGATTTGACGTACCCAGCCAATCAGATTACCAGACACGAATAGATTAGATGTAGGCAGAGAGAAAGGGACTGTGTATGACCGCTGCGAGCGTGTCTCGAAGGTTTAGAGTTTGTCTGTCGGACTCGCACAAATGAGGATAACCTAGCACGGGGACAGAGGGAAGCTTTGTTTTTCGTTTATGGGATTGGCCTATTTTCTCATATTTACTTATATGTTTTGTTGAACGTAAGCACAGAACGGTCAACTGAAGGTGTGGTTGAAGATCGTTTCGAGATTTGGATAAAGAAATTAACGACGGTGTGTTAATTGAATTTTGCAAATCGTTCTTTTTGTGTAACGTTTGCTTAAATAATGTAAGCACTGTAATTTAATGTCATACAAATCATGAGCCATCATACCTAGAAAATGTTGAGGTTGGAAATTTTCTCGACATCCCTGGGCACTCTACATACAAATTCAGGCATTGGTTGCCATAGAAAGTTATCAATTAATACCTATGGAAGTGCTTCAAAGAACACTGAGAGCAGGCTAAGCTTGTGTATGAGCGAAGTATATTTCTTCATCATAAATGAATTAAAGTGCAACTTGGCTTCTTCTGGATTTATTCCCGGAGAAGATTTTTGAAAACAAAAAGCTCTACTGCTTACCATTGTAGGTATTCACCTAGCAATGTGTACATTGACCGCTCGAAGCCACCTCGTTGCTGAAAGAGAGATGAAGAGAGCTTTCACTTTCAAATGTGTGCTCTTACGTCACCTTTTCGGTTCGCGAATTGAATCATTCCGAGAAATGGTTCAACCAACGGTAACAGTAGGAACCACACACGCGGCAGTTGACGGCATTCGACCGGCCAACCGAGAGCAGTCGTACGCACATTATTCAAATACATTGGCAGCGATTTCAAACTCGATTAACTTTGAAAGCCCGCATCGAATTGCGCTTCCTCAGTTACTATCTTCGATTTCGTTATCGCCGACGACGGTGTCTTCGTCTCAGACACACATCTAAGCGGGTCTCGTGTGGAATGGGGGGCAAGCGGCCAAACTGTGCTACGCATTGCTCACATACCTACCGATTTCTTTCGATTTCGTAAATAGTAGCATATCTTACTACAATCAATCCATGAGTGGTTTTTATTCAAATCACTCGCTAGCCTAGCCGCAAAACAACTGCTGCAGCCGGTGATGACTGGCTGCCAAAAGTAGTGTTGTGATTCGCGCGCTCCGCTGGAATCAACACCATAAAAGGCAATAACATTGTGCGAGACCACCAGCTGCTGGCAGTGGCCGCCCAAATGCCATTACTTTGCTCACTCACGACAGAGCCTATATCAGTTTGGTTTGCCTATGTTGTGGTAGATAGATACCGAACGGAACAGCGGCCGAAGAAGGAGAGGCCTTTTCTTATCGCAATCTTGTATTTTATTCGGTTGGTTGTGCTTATCAATTTTGTGTTTCGTTGGCTCAGCAAGAACGGGCTGTAACAAATAGAGATAATTTGATATGTATGAAATTCTGGCCATGGCACACCGGTTGACTGTACAGTTGATGTTTGTTTACGTGGAAGTAAAAATGTACATGCCAGGGTGGTTTAAAAAGTTGTTTTTGCTCCATACAATACTGTCTATTTAAAATCAGTCATCCTTCCAAAACGCTCTAGCCAGGGCTTCACCACTGCATTTAAATAGTTCGCTTGCTTGTTCTTCAACACCTGCGGCTTTGCTGTTTTCCAATCGACCGATCTCTTCCACGACTTCCGGTAGGTTCTGTTGTTTTCTGCGCGTGTTTATTTATTTATTTATTTGTCAGCATCAACAGACTCGATAAGGTCCCAATGATGGTTTAACTTAAAATTAAAATTAAAGTCATAAGTTAAAACTACAAAACATTAAAACATGATCATTGACTGTTTCCATTTCTGGAGAAGAATGAAGAGAAACGTCTCCGAAGTGTTAGTCGTGGCAGGTGAAAATCGAATACTGATGAAACTCGGTTAAATACTCGCTGCAGTCCGCCTATTGCACCGTTGATTGCATAGTTTGTCCTACGTAGTGGCATTCTCAGCATAACATTGTTACGAAGCGTTCGGGGTTTGGCGTTAATGTTTACTTGCTCCAAGATTGCCATACAATCAATTCTGCCATGTAACGTGTCCGCGACAAGCAGGGCTTTTGAAGTATCCCTTCTGGTGCGAAGAGGCTCCGAGTCGATCAGCTGGCAGCGACTTTCATAGCTGGGCAAATGAAACGGGTCTCTCCAAGGTAACATTCTCAACGCGTATCGCAGAAAGCGGCGTTGAACGGACTCGACTCTCTCAGTACCATTGTTGTAGTTCGGACTCCAAACCACAGAACAATATTCTAGAATGGAACGTACCAGGGAACAATACAGTGACTTGTCGACGACGTACGAGATGTGTTGCTTATATGTAAGTTGAGAGTCCAGGATGACACCTAGATCTTTTACATGGCTCACACGTTCAATAATGGTGTCCCGGAGAGCATAGTGAAAAATAACTGGTTCTTTCTTTCGGGTAAAAGTGATGACTAAACATGATTTACTGTCATTCGGTTCAAATGGCACCAGCTGGCAAACGCTTCAAATTGACGTTGGAGGAATTGACAATCATCGATCGAGCAGACCCGTAAGTAGATTTTGAGATCGTCTGCATACGATAGTCGTGGACCTTCGATAACTAAATTCACGTCATTGAAGTAGAGTAAGAAAATCAACGGTCCCAGATGACTTCCTTGAGGTATTCCTGACGTAGCTGCGACAATGTCGGACTGGCAGTCACCATGGGCTACCACCAACTGACGATCGGCGAGATATGAACAAAACCATCTCAAGAGATTTCCGCTAATCCCAAGTCTATCCAATTTGGCGATCGCGATGGCGTGATTTATCTTATCGAAGGCAGCAGACAAGTCAGTGTAGATGACGTCTGTTTGTGACCTTTCAACCATACTTTGCGTGATGTACGATGTCAGACACAGTAGATTCGTGGTAGTAGATCGACCAGAGGTGAAGCCATGTTGATCTTCACTTAGATACTGCTTGCAATGGGAGAGCAGAGGCTCTATGATGATTAACTCGAATTATTTTCGAAATTGCGCACAACGATGTAATTCCACGATAATTACCACGTTCCGTTTACTACTCTTTTTATACACAGGGAACATATGCGCAAATTTCCAGTTCGATGGAAAAATGCCACACGATATTGACAATCGGAACAGATGTTGTAGCGGTGACAGTAAGTTAGCGATATGCTTCTTCAGAAAGACTGAAGGGACACCATCCGGTTCAGGGTTGATAGAAGGCTTTAGTTTTAGTGCGGCAGTCGTTATCACTTCAGCGTTGACAACAATTCCACCCAGAGCTTGACCGGAAAGTGGAACGTTGCTTGCTGCTAGAGTCACGTATTCGTTGGTTAAGCTCTCGTCAGAGAAGACGCTTGCAAACTTGTTGGAGAACAAGCGGCACACTTCCTGTGGAGTGGAAGCGACTTCGCCGTTCAATATCATGGATGATGGTAGACCGGACTCTCTGCGCTGCTCCTTGATCGATTTCAGCTTCTTCAATTCGTTCGTCTGCCAAGGGAGGTGCGATGCAATCTAGTGAACGCTCTTAGGTACGTGTCTGTCAATGACATAAGCCAAGACATGTGAAAAAGTTTGAGCAGCGGTTTCGACGTTATCAGAATCGAGTATGTTTTCCCAATCAATGCTTGACAGCACATCGGCAATGCTACGATGATCGGCTTTCTATAACTATATGTTTTTCCACCTTTGATCCCTGCAGTATAGCCTTTAAGGTGCTCGTCAAAGTACATACTGCTTCCACCTCTCGATCTCCTTAAACTCATTCGTGAGAAGAGTTCCTTCCAGGTCTCTGTACTAGTGTTTCCAATTTCCTGGCCGTTTCTGGCTACCCGGAAATCAAGAAATATGGTCAACCAGTATAATTTTTGATTGTTATTTATTGGAGGCGAACCAGCCCAAGGCTGAAAGCCTCCTTAATAAAGCTAAATAATAATAATAATGATTGTTATTTATAAGAATTAAAACTTCTGCCGGTCGACTTGAATAAATTTCAATAAATTTTGATATTTTGTTTTCATCCGCATGATTTGCACGATTTCATCCATTTTCCGGAAGTTTTTTCAGCTGGCCCTGGAAGAATCTTCCATCTTTCTCCGAAAGTTTCTTCCAACTTTCTCCGGAAACTTCTTCCATCGTTCAACAGAAGTTTCTTCAAACTTTCCGTTCCATATGCATTTTCTGACTACCCTCAGAAGTCCTACTGACTTCCTGTGGAAACGGAAATTATTTGCCATGCCATCCGGAAGTTCCTTCTAACTTCACACGGAAGACTCTTCTGAATTCTTCTTCCAACTTCCCCAGAAGTCCCTGTGACTGCCTTTGCTTGTGTCTTCTGACTCCCAGAAATTCCATTCGATTTTTCCTGGAAGTCTTCCAACTTCCCCCGAAATTTTCACACAGCTTGCCCCGGAAGCGTCTACCGATTTCAATTGGAAGTTACTTGGAATGCAACTGCTCTTAGAAGTTTCTTTCAACTTTCCCCAAAAAAAAAACTCCAACTTTCTCCGGAATCACATGTAAACATTACACTCTAAACTAGTTTACTCAAAATTTCATCATTTTTACCCATGCAA